CAAGGTCTGAGAGATGTGTATCTGTGTATACCTGTACTGGATGGATTGCCCCCTCTAAAAAATGCTTCCAATCCTGAATGCTGCTTTGATTAAAAGCAACTCTTTATTGAAAATGCCCTGTTGTCTGTAGAAGAAGGCACCTAATTCAGCATTGGTGGGTGTCTCTTTACACTACAAAGGGATGGGGGGTCTGGAGATTGAGTAGTGGCTGGGAAAAGAAAAAGATTTTGAAATCCTGAATTGCTGCTTGCTCTTGAGGAGATCATTTGAACGTAGGTCCTCTCTTTAGGACCTACAACAGAAGTTTTGTATGCTGTGCAAAATTAAGAATGAAGTTTCTATAAAAAATGTAGATGTCCAGAAAATACTGGAAATCTTTCCCATTTCTAGGGTCCTGCCATGAAAGTATGGATTGTACTTTTGCAGGATCCATTTATATTCCTTTTGCAGAGATCTGGTAATCCAAATAATCTAACTGGATTATTCCTCTGGCCTAAAGGCCGTAATAAAGATTTGATTTGATCCAACTGGGGAATGTCAAACAGACATTTTTTTCCAATTTAGCAAAAAGCTTGTTTCTGCAGAGTTGCTCTAAGACCCTTCTAACATGAGTCTGGTACAAAAATAGGTCTTCTGAAAAAAAATCAGTATGTCATCCAAATACATCACTACATGTTTATCCAAAATACCAGAAAGTATTTCATTCATGAATCTAGAAAAGATTACGCTACATCTAACCAGCCTAAATAGCATCATTGTGAATTCAAATTTCCCATATCTGATATCATTTAGATATTCATGTTTCTCTTTTGTTCTCGTTAAATTGTACACATCTCTTGACTGTCCTGAAAATGAACATCTTTGAAGGCAGTTCAGTGGGTTTAAAATATGAGGGGGTGGGTAGCGATCCCTAATGGTCACACTGTTCAGGAGTCTGTTATCACGACCAGTCCTCATGAAATTATCCTTCTCAGGCACAAAAAAGGTGGATGCAGACACTGGAGATTTAGAAGGGCAAACGCAACCCTTCTGGTTATCATCCAGAAAGTCCTTCAATGTGGCTAACTCTTGAGTAGAGGTAACGTATTGACTCTTAGCTGGAACTTCAGGTTGACAGTACAGTTACATGTCCAGTGAGGAGGCTTCCTGCTCCCCCAAAACAGCAGCCAATTCTGTGTACTTTCCTGGTAAGGAAGGGGATTCAGGGAGCTGTGTAGGAGAGGGAAAGGGTAAGAGAGGGAAGCCTGCACACTGTTGACTTCTTTGGGACAGAAAAGGAATTGTTCCTTGCTCCCAGGGAACATCTAGATTATCAGTGCCCAGCATAATGGGAACATGGAAGGAAGCTGTGACATAGAGTGGCAAGAATTGTGTATGTACTGTCAGGGCCAAAATGTTTTGCAATGGAAACAGGACCAGCCCGAAGTGTGTTTTCACAAGCATAGATTTATCTAATAACTGTGTAGGCAATTTAAACCTTTTCACTGGGGTTTAAATTGAGTGTTGAAGAGTGAAGGAAGAGGCTCCAACTGTTTCCTTCTGTTGAAAGGTAGAGAAAACAGATTGTCCTCATTTACCTGCCCTTATTTCTAGCCAGCACTCTGAGCGTATTGTGGGAAAGTTGCCCATCCTTTTGTGTCCCTTAAGGTTTAACTTGTATCGAAAGCAATGGATTGATCTAGCAGACCCACCTGGAAGATGGGGCCCATGGTGGAATCTGCACAGTGATGTTTGCGGAGAAAGGGCGTCACAACCATTGTGACCCCCTTTCCTTTTAATGTACATTGTAGCACATGTAAGAACAGGGGCAGGGCTTCAACTGCACGGTTATGGCTGCCATATTGACTTTTTTGACTTCCCTTGAGGTGACCCCTGAATCGGTACCTACTTTGTCTTGGTCTTTTTTTGTGATTGATTGATCCCCCCACCCTCTCCCAGAACTCACAAAGTATTCCCAGCTGGTGGAAATTCAAGGAAGGGTTTCTTCGACTCCGCTTGGCCTCCTCCATTCTAAGATTCCAGTTGCAAGAGGTGGAGTTATGTGTCTCGCACCCTCAGTTTGTTGTGAAGCTAACAGGAGGCAGCAAGATTGGTGGAGTGATGACACACGTAATTCCTGCTGGGTGAAGTCCTCTCCCAGGTCGGATTCCCATCCTCCTGATCACCCCCAAACCAAACTTTATATACTTACCAGTGGGTCAGAAAGGACTTCACATCTAACATGACATTCATAGGATTGTGCTGGAAAACTGAAATCCCAGACTCAAATTATAAATCCCATTCAACTTCTATGCTATAAATTGTCCCTGATAAATCACAATTGTGGCATGTGCAAAGTGTCGTTCTAACTGTCCACTGCAGCCAGGAGTAACAGCCAACCCTGGTTGGGAATGTGGGAAATATAATCTAAGATCTCTGCAGGATTCCAGGCTCGGAAGGTCTTGCTAGATTATTTAAAATAAATACGTTTTAAATAACTTATTTTCTTCTGGATGCACATGCCTTCGGTTGTGTCCCTGTTATCCTCCAAAAAAGGCACACAGATCTTGACCTTAAAAGGGCATTGTCCCCACATTCCAGATAATTGTGGTATGCTGGTCAGAGTTTTTGAAAAGATGACAGCTGCAGCCCCACCAAGCGTGCAGTATTTGCCTCGGGCTCAGTTGAAACATGCAGCCCAAATCTCTTCAATTATCTCTGTGGACACTATGGATTTGCAGGGTTTATAAGCTTGTTTACGAGTTTACAAGCTTCCTTATCAAGCACTTACAAAATGTCAGCGCTGGGCAGACGGGAATGTTTCGGCCGTATTGCAAACATCCTGTCATTGGGACAAATTGAAATGGTTGCAATGGTCTTCAGCTTGAAAGATAATCGCGGGGCAGAGAGACAGGATACCTGCATTCGGGAATGATTAGGGACTCTGAGCGAGCAAGGGGGCCACTGTTAGCGTCCCAAACATATTCCCTGTTTCTGAGAAAGGCTGCAAAAAACAGGATGAAATTTAAGAGCAACACGCAGAAAGTTCTTCACTTAAGAAAAAGAAAAGAACTAGGGGGATGCTGGGCTTGGTAATAGCACTGTACATAAGGAAAGAAACCTGGAATTGTAGTTACAGCAACCAGCAGAAGGCACCTGTACAGGTAGATTGTACAACTCAGTCGCTAAGCAGCATGGTCACTAGGCAGGAAATCATGTGAACATGATGGCCTTATGACCTCAATTCCCCTTTGGCCATTAAGTGAAGCACCACGGTCACTAAACAAAACATCACATGAACATGACTTAATGATTTTGCTTCCGTCTTCTCTGTTAACTCTGCTTGTTGCAAGTTGGTTGCGAAGCACACGAATGGTGACTCCTTAACTGCGGGACACTGTGCCAGTCGTAAATGTGGGGATTGTTTGCAAAGCCATTTTTTTTTACACCATCATAAATTTGAATGGTCACTAAATGAGGCAATTGGTAACTGAGGACTACCTGTAACTGAAGGAGGTCTCTGTCACTGAAAACCACATAGGATATACACTGTGTAAAAATTGAGAATTTTTCCCCCATCCAAGGGGGAGTGGGGGGGAGTGAAAGTCATGTAACAGCTCATACATGGGGGGCATGACATAATATCTGTATCTCTCTGCTCTGGGAGCTTAAGCAAAGGTGGACTGTGTGTGCCATTCTGATAGCATTTCTGAAATTGCAGCATGTCCCAAGTCGAGCGCGTGACTTCCGTGTGATGAGGCTGTTCAACAGGCAAATGCAGTTTTTGGCTGCATCAATAGCAGTATCATTTCCAATACATTCAGCTTCGCTCAGACCCATGTGCTGTGTCCAATTCTGGGCACCCCTTTTAAAGAAAGATTCAGAGAAACTGGAACAGCTGCAGAAAAAGAAAAGAAGGATGATCAAAAGACCAGATTCTTACAAGGAGGAAACTGGGTAGGTTTAAACCTTGAGAAAAGGCAATTGAGGAGGGAAATAGTAGCATCTATGGGGAGTGCACAGAAGACCAAAATCTCTGGGATGTCCCCCAGAATGGAGGGTATGGAGTAAAGGTCTTATGAGAAAGGAAGACGGATTCTGGCTCAGTATGAAGACAAACTTCCAGATGTAAGAGTCGTTTAGCATTTATTGAGGAAGGCACAAGACCTCCTTCCATGGAGTACCTTCAGGCAGAGGCTGAAGAGCCTCTGTTCAAGTGTTTTATTTTGAATTCTTGTTCCTGCATTGACTGTATTCCCCCTTCCAGCCACAACACCTCCTCTTTGTGGTTTCATTACTATATTTGGGGATGAGTAGAAGAGGAAAGGACGGGGGCTGGTGGTAAGTTTGAAGGGAAACCCCAATCAACCTCTGACTTTTAATTTTCCAACAGCACTGCTTCAATCCAAGTCGTCAAACAATCTTTGTCGGGTAGACGTACAGGTGTATTATCAGATAATTAGTAAGCCCTTATTCTCCAAAAGGCGGAACATTACAGAAGTAGATTCTTAGATGAAGACAGACTCACCACCCCAGAACCACTTAAACTCCCCAGATGCCTTGTATTGTCTAATTAAACTCTTCACAGAGATGAAAATCATCTAGAAGAACGTCCTTTCCAATCAGCAGGCAGTTTGGGGATATATAAGAAAAGGTAAAGATTCCCTTGAGTCAAACACAACTCCTGGGATATTGTTTTAATTGCTTTAATATACCAAAAAAGA